CCCCTTGATCAAACAAGCCCTTGTCTCTGTCTTCTGCGCGTCCCTGCTCAATGTTCAATGCCGCTGCCATATACAAAGCATGCTAAAGGAACCAAGCGGCAACAAAAAGAAAAGCAGTATCACGGAATACAAGGAAGCAAATAAACACTGAAAAACGAACAAAAAAGGGTACCATGTAGAGAAGGTGGGCATTTCGGTTGGACGCAAACTTTGCTTTGCCTACCACATTCAATATATTCCTACACATTTTTGGGTCGGCCGTCAGAACGAGAAACTGAGAGCCCAAGACGCGGGTAGTCGCATATATACGCACGCCCGTATCTATTTCCACCTTCGTGCTCTCTCTCGGTGACTGGGGGTGTTTTGTTCTGGCTGACGGGCACGGATAGCAGCATCGATTTATCCAGCCATGTGCTGCATACGTGTGTACGAGGCGCGACCAACACAGGTAAGGGAAGAGGAAGCAGAGCATTTTTTTTTTTTCAATATACTACGTCGTTATGCAGCGTGCCGTGGTCCTTTTGCCTTGTTTGGGTTATGGAGGAGGGAGAGCAGCTATTATGCATTCTTGTGGAACAATGAGTCTCTATGCTGACCTCGGTATCTGCAGTTTACATCTTGGGAGTTCTGATGAGATATAGGAGTGGTTCTCTCCCCGCTTTCATCTTATGCTGACGATGCGGGCTCTGCGTATGCAGCAGAGGTAGGCAGGAGGTCAAAAGAAAGAATGGGGGTGGTCGATGGATGACTTTACATGTCGTGTGTTTGTGTGTGTGTGATGTGAGAACATGCTCAGCCCAGCCCACTGAGGCATGTATGTGTATGTATGTAAGACTTGTCAGACTCCTTCACGCAGGTTGGTCATCATGATGGGTTGCTTCTGCGGGCTTTTGGTCTTGAGTGACTCCTTATTTGATATAGTCTCTGCTGCACGTTGGACCTTGCATCGTTCCTCCTCATCAATGAGGCCTGCGGATTCTGTCTCTGCTTGCTTTTCTACCCATCCTTGTCTTTTTCCTACCCTGGCGTAACACTGACACGAGACACGGACACAGACACGCATGGAGTTACACATGCACAGCCCACACGGGATGAACCAACTGCTACTGCTACTGCTACTGTCCACTGCTACAGCCCCCCCGTACGGCTGTGGCCCTGTTGGCACACCCAACGCTCTGGCTTTCATGTCGACTGAACAGAGGGGCAGAGAGATGTAAGAAGACAAGCAGAAGAAGAAGAAGAAGCCAGGAAGACGTCACAGAAGCCGGTCTTCCCACTGTGGTCCCATGCAAGCCATTAAAGAAAAAGAAAAGAAAAATCTCGATGAGAAACACTCCCCCCCCGCGCCCTGTTTTCAGGCCGCAAGCAAAAACCCCTCTTTGATGCTGCAACGGCTCGTCAGGTGAGCGACAAGTGGAGGATTGCTGCAAGTCATTGATCACGCAAAACACAGAAAAGAGGGAAAATGGACCCCTGTCTATACCCCGTAATATGCGCTGGAACCATTCTCTTTTTATTTCTATGTCTTCTCCTCTTCTTCCTTATACTAATGGAAACACGCATACAATAGTTCAAGAACAACACGCACCCCCTATAGACACGCTACTGTACCTATATTCAGGGTGTGTGTGTGTGTGTGAGTGGCTCTCTGGGTAATCGCGGCTTTTCGGTGCGCTCCGAAGACAATCTCAAGGCATGACTACTAGAATTACCTATTCAAAGGCGTTAGCATCATCATCCTCCCATTTTGATCCAAAGAACATGTTCGTACAGATGCCCAACCTAAGCTAATAACCTGTTGCATATAGTTCCGCCTCTTTTTTCTTTTATTTCTTCTCCAATCTTTAGGGAGAAAGACGACCTATCAGTTCCTGACATCATCTATCACGAAACAAAATTCAGGGCATCAGGCGTCAAATGGGGGCTTCGTCAAGTCGCAAGTGAGGGGGCGTGCGCTTTTACATCTCCTCAACGAACCATCAGAAAGAACCGAGAGAGGCGACTCACCGAAAGGGAGAATTACACAGAGAAGAATGCTCTCATCATGGCAGTCAAATCCTTCCGTGGGCCAAGACAGGGCTGAGAGCAGTGCGACGGTACGCAGCCAACGCAGCCCAAGGAACGTGTGCCTGATGCACGCACCATGGCAGATACCTTACATACAACCGGTAGGTCAAGATACTACATGTAGGTACCTTACTGTATGTTAGTGGTAGTAGGTGATGCGATGCGCTGCGATGCGATGCGCTGCGATGCGATGCGCTGTGATATGATGTGATGTGTCTCTCCTTTTTGCGTCTCCCCCGTAACACAATTCCTCTGGCCCCAACAGTCTCTGGCGCCTCCTTGCTCTCGTTGTACGATGCAACTTCGTAAACGAAGAGAAATGAATGGTTAGGATCCGTATGTGTCTGTCTGTATGTATCTCGCAACTCTTCGAGGGGGAGTGTGGTCGCACCAGAGGGGGAGGCTTTTCGCTGCTTTTTTTTTTGTTTTTGCCGCTGCCTAATGCAGCCCAGTCTTTCGAGGTGTTCGTTCCCAATGAAAGGGCCTGGAAATAGAGTAGCATACACCAGTGGAAGAAAAAAAATGCTAGACGGTATGATCGGGAGAAACATGATCAAAGAGTGAGGCTTTGTTGGGAACTTAATTAGAGAATACCTACTACCTGTAAACCTATTGCTGCCACACTTACACGCCCCCATCTTAGCTGGCAGAGAGCCATCGAGGAGGTTGCTTTCTCCGCACCGAGAACAAGACGAAGTCCATCATGGAGGGGAGTGTGCTGAGGAAAAACGCAAATCGAGATCAAGACTCTTCTTTCCTCATGTTTCTCCCCTCGTTCTGCCGCCCAGCATACAAGAATAGCAAGTATGTAGTAGAAAGATGAACGCATAATGGGAGAGGGATCCACTGTAAATATCTCCGTCGTCCTTGTGCAGGTTTGCAGGTTTGGCTCCTCTCTTGGGCGTTGAAAAACGTGGGCAGCCGACATCATGTGTTTGTGCAGAACGCAGACCCCTTCAAAGGGTAGACCATTCTCTTTCTTCTGACCAGGTGGTACTACTCAGAAGACGTCATTTCAGCCTGATACTCTACATGAGATGATGAGGCTGAACAAAGATGAGAGACAGAGACATGCGATGATGGCTGGGTTTTTTTTTTCGCGCGCCAACAATGTCACACCACAGCGTAGATAAGAATTTATCGACGACGACAGCGACTTTTTTGAGGCGCAAGTTATGATTCCCGAGACATGACAGAAGAAGCCAAAGAAAAAGAAAAAAACAGGAGGTTGACCTGACTGTGATACTTGTCTCGAACAACGACTTGCATCCGAGCACTTGTAGACACTTTGTATGTACTAGCAATAGCAATAGGGTAGAATAGCTCCGGAGCCCGTGAGACATTTGTTCCATCGTAGATGAGACAAGCACAAAAAGCACAGCCTCCCGGATCAGCACCAGCGGAAACATTGTTCCCGCCTATTTTGTTGTTGTAGGAATTCCTGTATGCATGTTTTGAACACGTCTCAGGTGCTTTGCTGAGCTGAATGGAGGACTTTGCAGAGAGGCTCGCCGTACAAGGTAGCGCATCACGAAGCCTCCGATCGATGGTAGAGGTACCAAGATGTTACTCTCGCGTGTGTTGTAAATCACCATCACATCCAAACCCTCAAACAACAAATCCAGAATACATCATTTCCGACAAGAGCTACACAGAAGGGGACACAGCAGCACCCAATCACCTTTCCTACACGTACTGTATCCCAGCCACCCTTCCCAGCAAGAAATCCTAAAGCACTGCCTCGATTCATTTGCGTGTCTATCACGAACTTCGTAGCCAGCCAGCCCCCTTTCAAGGTCACACATCACGCTTTTCATCCCCTCCATGTGCTCAGCAGATCGCCAAAATAGACAGCCTCTCTCTACACCCACCCAGTATCTTTCCTGTTACCAATCTCAATTCGCCTCTTCATCTGCGCATACTACTAACTCACTGTCTCACTCTACATACATACAAACTCACATACCTAACCAAGGTATATACAATACTCTGTTCTACCAACCCTCACAATCGTAAATGAAAACAACATTCCGCAAAACTCAAGACGTGGCAAACCCCTCCGCAAAAGGCCATCCAAACAACGTCATGCCAAGCTCTTCATTTACTACTACAAACTCAGCAACAGGATACCCAGGCGTCGTCAGCTCCATCTCAAGCCCTCCTCCTCCGCAGAAAGCTTGCTTGCTATCCGCCGTATGACACTCTCATACGATCGAGAGTATCATGTTGACAATCGATAAGTCTCATACTGGCAAATAAGCATCGCGCAACAAAGAAGAGGGGGTTTGACCAACAATCAAGGAAAGATTACGATTATCCACTCGACCTGCATGCATGCAGGGCAAACCCCAAAAGTACGCTTCACTCCACAAGCGCTGCATGAATCACAAGAGACACATCACAGACACGGCATCACACAAAGGCAGAGGCCACAGAAGGTCATGTTGGTAGAGGGGAATAGATCTTTGAGCTCGTCAAAGCCATCATCATTTTGCAGTAAACTAAAACATTCTTCATCTAGGTAGGTAGATAGTCCCAATCTCTCACATTGCCAATCGGAGAGAAAACAACAACACAAAAAGATAGCAGCACTCTGTAAAATCCCTTGCAGTCGCAGCACATTACATCCCAAAAAACCCAAAAAGAAAAAGAAGAAAAATGGTTAAAAAGAAAGAATCGAACCAGTCAAAAAAAAAAGTCATGTCAAAACAGACAACCACACCACCTTGCCGTCGCTTTTTTTTGTTTCATCATCCCCCTTCACCGTCACTCTCCCCCTCCGCTGGCTCGCGACGCGCCCAAAATGGTAACGCTGGGTATCTCTAGATGGAAAAAATGCCCCGAGTCTCGGTCTTCTCCTCCGCGTGTGCATTGGGTGGTAGTACAGGTCGCCCTTGAAAAGAAATCTGTCTTTTGGATAACCGAGAAAAGAAAGCGTAAAGTAAAGAAAAGAAAAGAAAAGCCGATCATCGCTCCAGAACCGTGTTCGGGACAAAAGAAAATAAATCGAAAGAAAAAGAGTCCGAAAGATTGGGTATCCATAGGAAATCCTCGGACGAGAACCAAGAAAAGGCAGGTATTAGTGTACAGTCTTTCGTCTTTCGTGGCCAGTCCATCCGGCGGAATGGGCCCTTAATCAACTTTCGATGGTCCGGGATCCTTGGGGGAAGTTGCCAATTTGGAGAATAGTCAAGGAAGGAAAGATTAGATAGGGATACTGGGAGAAGCCGGAATCGCTCTGGAATGGACAATAGCAATCCAAGGCAAATCCATGCCGCATCTCCTCTGGTAAGGCATCGATCCCGGCAAAATCCTCTGGGGAGTCGATTGTCCTGGATTGTGGGGGAGCGGGGATGTTCTCACACAGCCAGGTAGGAAATTGAAAAAACCCGTCAACAGCGAACAGTAAACCGTTTGGGTGGTGTGTCTAGGCAGACGGGTTCTGCAGGATGCCCTCGCAGTTGGCATCGAACCTGAGGCTAAAGAGCCGCACGCTCTGCATGAACTTCTCCGTCTTGGCGAGCTCTCGGTCGCGGCCAAAGAGGGTGTCGACGAACTCAACACCCGAGTTCTTGCCCAGGCCCGACTGCTTCTTCTTGGCGGCCTTGAGCATGGGGGCCTCGCAGGCCTTGAGGAGCGACCGGAGCTTGTCGGTGAGACGCTCGCCAGCCTCGATGAAGTCATTCATGATCTCTCGGTTCTCGGCGCCGCGGACGCGGCCAACCACGTCCTCGGCGCGCTTGACCTTGCCGGAGAGCTGAATCAGCAGTAGCCAGAGCTCGCCGGCCATGTCGGCCAAGGGCGAGTTGGCGCCGGCCCGGTAGACGGTCCAGTCGTAGATCCACTTGCCCAGGCTGTTGGCGTCAAAGACGCTGCCGAGCAGGAGGATGGGCTCCTCGGACGGGTCCCAGTTCTTGAGCGAGTAGCCCGTGGGGATCCGGTGCTTGCGGGCATCGGCCTCGGTTGCCTTGGGGACCGTGGCGGCGGCAGCCTTGGCACGGTGAGTCTGGGTCGAGGGACGGACGGTGGAGGCCCTCGGGGGGATGTTGGCCGCGGCAGCCGACGAGCGGCGAGTGTGGCCGTGGCTGGTGGGAGGCCGGACATGGGAAGGGGGATGGTCGTAGGCGGCTTCACGGCTGTAGTCGGGATAGTAGGCGGTACCCTGTGGGTAGTCGTCGCGATTAGTGTACCGTATCCCTTCATAGTCATGAACATTATGCGAGTTCCTGCGACCCCTTGCCCGCGACTCGGCAAGCAGCACATAGGTGCGCCCCGAAGCCTCGAAGATCTCGTCCTCGTCGGATTCTCCAAACGGAGTTCTAGCCCGGACATAGGTGTGAGAGAATCGGCGGTCGTGCCAGGCAGGAGTTTGAGACGACCCGGAGGGCCCGCGCGACGACGAAAAATATTTGGGACTCACATCAACCGTGGCATACTGGCCGGAGCTGTTGTAACGCGGCGAATCGACCGGGGCCCGAGGCGTCGAGCCGCCCTGGGAGTAGCTGCTGGCCCGGCTGTGAGCCGCACGCGTTGCCGGGCGTCGAGGCGTTGTCTCGACCCAGCTTGGCCGCGGTGATGGGGTTGGAGTGGCGGAAGACATTCGCGTGTATTCCCACTCGTGGATCGGGGTCGATCCAGGTGTTCGTGGTGATGGGTAGTTCATTCTGTGATGGTTCCTCTCTTCTTGCAGGATCCCACTGTGACACGACACGTTTCTCCGCAGCCTCTCCTCCGGTTGATCGGGGAAGGACCTGGCGACGTATCGTTTGTATATGTGGTGGCGATGCTTCCGGCGAGACTTGATAGCGAATAGGTATCCGAACTTTCCTCACTCTCTATCTGTCTCTCTCTCTCTCTCTGCTGCTGCGAAGAACCTTTTTTGTTGCTCCCTCTCTCTAAAGACGGGAGAAGGATGGAGGGGGGAAGAGGGGGTTTTGATGGATGGATGTTTGTGGTATCAGAACGGCTGATGATGTTTGTGATGATGAGGAGGGTAGGAGAAGGTGATGGAAGACAAACAGCCCGTTCACCTTGGTATGTAATCGGAAGAGTAAAAATTGGAAGAGGAATTACGTCTTGCGTCAAACATGACCAATCTACAACGGAGTCGTTTTTATCCTAGTCTCCCCTCCCTCAATGTGGTGATTGTGAGGAAAGCCGAAGTGATGCTGCAAGGCGCGAGAGCCAGAGTTCCGACGTTGCGGCCTGGCTGTGGCGAGCTGCGTGTTGATGAAGAGCGTGACACGCGGGTTTGCTGGTGAGGTGATGGTGATGCTGTGGCAGCTGATGGTCGATGGCGTTGGACGCGATGATGCAGATGCAATGCTGAGGACGCAGGTGGAGATGTGCTTCATTGGCAGAAGCGTGAAAGCCGGAGAGAGAAAAAAGAGGCCAGCAGGTCGGGTGTGCGGGCATGCATTCGAGGTATATATTGTGGCCGCAGCGAAATTCTGGCGTGGTGGGCGTTGAGCGAAGGCCAGGGAGCCTCTTAGCGGCCTCAGTGAGCGCCGAGGGCAGCCACAGGCATGCGACAGGGGGGCCGGGGGGGCCTGAGCGTGCTGGGCTCCGGCGAGGTGGAGGGGGCGTGGCGCTAGCGAGAGCTGCGCGAGGGCCTGTGCTGGCGGCCCTAGCGCCGGTGGGGCGTGGCTGGCTTAGTCACTGCGGGCTGGGTGGTGGTGGAACCTTCCCGCGATGGCCACACAGTGCTGGAAGCGTCGCCGACACTGGCGCCGTGTTGCTGACAGAGCGTGGTAGGGGAAGACAAGGGAAGAAAAAGGAACAGAGGTGAGTAATAAGGGACGAAAAAAGACGAGAGGAATCTGCCGGTTGCACCCAACGCAGGCTGTGACTGGCTGACGGGCAGTTGGAGCCTCTGCGTTCGGTGGACAAAAGGAACAGCGAGCGGCGAGCAGGCGCTGCAGCCTGGCTTTTCCTTCGTCGGGTTCCAGTCGGGTTGCCGTCAGGATTGGCGGCGACTTGTTGCTTTCGGCGCACGCAGGAGGCAGCCCGATGGCGGTTCCTGGCCGTGATTCGACGTCGTCCCTTTTTTTACGTTGCGTACGATATTAGACGGGGGGCGATTTTCAGCCGGCTTGCGCAGCTGAACGGGCTCGAGGGGTGGTAGGTAGAAAGCCCCGGGGTAGATCCGTCTCGACCGGCTCTCGTACGAAGCACAAGATTATGACTCTGCCACTGTCAGTCAACGACCAACCACCGAGCCAGCCTTCCGGTCTTCTCAACAATGCCGCTCGTATCGCTCTCGCACTCGTCCAGGGGAGCACGAGCACTGGCTCCGGGTGGCGTGTCGTGAATGAAAGAAAGGCTCCGGGATGGCAGCCTGTGCGTCCGTCCGCTTGCCAGGGTTCGGGCGAAGGCTGCCCTGGCTTCGGATGCTTGGTGCGTGTGCTCGCGGCAGTGCAAGACCACTGCACTGCAAAGTGTGTGCGTGTACTCGTAATATCGCCGTTTGAGTCGAAGACCGTGGCCGCTCTGATGCAACTGGACAAGAACAAAGACTCGTTTTGCCCCCAGTCCAATTTGCCGGGTCTGGATAAGCGAAATGATGGAGTCTAGGGGTATGAATCCTAGCTTCCGCCGCGGCGCCCGGGAGTTTACACAGCTGTCCGGTCCTTGTACTTTCTCGGTGAGGAAAGGCGAGGAGATGACTTTGAGAAAAGATTTTTTCTTTTCTTTCCTCGGACTTCTTTTTAGATGGCTGTTTTACCTCCCTGCCGCTTCCTCGCCGGATGGGCAGGTGTCAAACGCCGAGCCCGTCGATGCCTTGAACTTGAACGTCAGGCAATCTCGAATCCCTGCCTGGATTAGAGACCTGCCGCTGCCTGTGCGCACGGAACAATGCGACTCACGGCGTATTGCCTGTCAACTTGACCAGGCAAGTGTTTGTACCGAGGAAGGTTTCTCTGAAGTATCTGGCAGCCTTTTCGCAAGTGTCGTCACGGGCAATTTTGAGGCATCCAAAGGAGACGATAGGCCGTAGCGTTGCGAGTAATGCTAGTGCGGCCGGGGCGATATCGAAAGCTCTCGTGAAGATGCAAGGTACCGCGGCTGTCCCCGGAGGCGGCGATCTTGATTACATGTACTTGTGTTGCGCACGCTCGTCTGGGCTCAGCGAGAAGCAAGAAACAAGGCACGACTTGTTGGGAACGACGGCGACTGATATTTGCGCCGCAGGCCAGTCGCAAGCATGAATTTGCAATGATGAACGACGGGTGGTGCGTATTTGGACACGAGCGATGCCCATCACCTCGGGCGGCTTACTCCAAGCAGTAATAATATGTAATATTCCAGGGCCGGGAGGCTTCAGCTTTGGTTCGGCTTCTCCCCTTTGCCAGCCTTTGTCGACGATCGTCCAACACGTTTGTGTGTTGAAACGCAGAGGCAACAAACGGCAATGTGAGCGGGAGTGAAGAGGATATGATATGGTGCAAGCAGCGTTATTTATCATCATGGTCATCCATCACCAATCCCGAACCGGACCGGAAGGGCCCCCAACATTACGTATGATGGATGGTCTTCCTCCTGCAAGAAGCACAGGCATGCGCGTCTTTTCTTCTCTCGATCTGATGTGATGGGTGTGTGGAGGATGGTGGGAAGCGCCCAGAGAAACGCAATCACCAGCAGCCTGCTTGCCTGCCTGGCACATGTAGGCAACACATACAAACGACACAAGGAGCGGCCAGTCATGTTCATGCTTCCTCGGTGCTGGCAAGCGCCCATCTGCATCGCACATCAGCCCTGTGACCACTGGATCGAGCGACGCTGGTGATGGCACTCCGTACATGTAGCATCCAAGTAGTACTACCTTAGTACCTAGTTCCACGACCATCGGTAGTCGGTGGTTGTGGTTTTTTTGTGTTCTTCACCACCGTAACGGGCACAAAAAGCGCTCTCTTCCCGTCGTCACATGGGCGTCGCATCGAAACGAGTCGTGGAGGCGGCACACCAGAGCGTTGGAGTCGTGCGCCGTCCAACGGCCAGTGCTTCGCTGATTGGGCCGCCTTCCTTCTGGATGCCGTGTGACGGGCGCTATCGATAGATTGTCCGTACCTCTGCTGATGGCTGTGTAATAGTAATGCCTACGGTAGGTATGTATGCCCGGCTGAATCGCTGCTCAGAGAGAGGCAGGACCGCAAGCTTGTTCGTGATACAGCCTCTGCAGCCTGTTGAATCCGCTGCAACCGTCACAACCGTCGCTTCTGGCGTTGCAGTGCGTCGTGATGGTGGTGCGGCGCTGGTGATGGGAGGTGCTGAGAAGCGCCGAGCCCGGGGCGCGCATTCAGGCGGTTAAACCGCACTCCGGTCATCACTATCACTTACACGGGAGGAAGCGAGCGACGACATGAACGGGTTGCGTGAAAAATCCTGCTGTTGATAGTTCGTGACTGCATTGATTGAATGACTCCTACCTACCTTGGATACATACAGTATGGATGCAGGCTGGTCCAGGATTTGTTTCATGGGCATTTCTGCGAGGCACGTTCGTCTGGACCCTGACATGCTGCAGTTTCATGTGCGGCATGCACCGTCAGGGAAGAGAGCGTATGTTCAGCAGAAGGAAGCGCAGATGACATGTCTCCCCATCTGACATCCTGCATGCAATGCATGGCACTTCTCTTTCAGGTAGTTCCTCTTTCAGGTAATACTGTTGGAAAGTTTTTGTGTCTAGAAAAATACCGTGAATATGGATGAAGCACCGTTTTAGTGATCGTCAAGGGCACTTTCCCTTCCTTCTGAAGGTTTGGCAAATGGGGTGATTTCCGATCATGGCTGAGGAGGCAAGTACATACCAGACATAGTGTGGTGGCAAGGAAGGCCATGAGGACAGATCCTCAATGTTCTAGGCCGGGCTAGAAACCCGGAGGAACAGGACTGGAGGCGAGGCTGCACTGATCGTCTCCTGGTCGGAGCTTCCATTTGCCTTAGTAGCCTTACGATTGATAGCAGAGAAGCCAGTGATTTCAGGAAATTTTGATCCGATGTTGCAGGCTACAGAGCACGCTCGTACGAAATTCTCGCCACTTCCATTCTATCGTAAATGTACTTGTACCTAGGTACGTACAAAAACCATTACGAGGTCTGTGTGCATCCAATCGGGTCCTTCCGACTTGCGGAAGCCCAGGCCTCAAAACATGGCCTCGACAAAGGCCTCCAGCTGTCTCGTCAATCTCTCGTCTCTGTCTCGCTTCCCCAGACGTAATTTCACCTCTTCTCTTCTTCATCTGGGTCCGAGCGCCAAAACCTACCATCCTCATCCGCTGCAGCTGCAGCTCAGGCTGCACAGCGAAGCCGACACGCAAAGGTTGCATGCAAAGTTTGAGTAATCTGACAGGGGTTCCGTCCCTCCAAAGAAGGAAAAAAAGGCGTGGCTTTCTCCGCCACACGGCGCCAAACCACGAGAGCCGGACCTACCACAGAGCGCCGTTTCTGTGATGGACTGCAAGCCCCGTCACCTCGAAAGGATTGGGGGGGCATGATGCAGGGCAAGGGGGACACGGCTGCCCTTGCGTCGAGATTTCCTGGGAAGCCACACCGCAGCAATTGACTTTTGAAATGTGCGTTAGTGCTCCGTCCATGTACTGTATGTGAGGTTTCTTCCTTCCTTTTTTCTATCTCTTCGTGACGGTGGAAGGCCCGGCGAAGGTGACTACTACTACCTACCTAGGTAATACAGGCGGGTCCTATGAAGAATATCAACATGAAGGCAAAACGATAGTCTGTTTACGTTGGTTCCTCTAGGTAAGGTACTATCATGATGATGCTCTCCTTTCCTCGCTTGACAACCGTCAGTGTCATCACAAGGGCCAGATAACAAGGCCAAGTCAAGGGCGTCCAAACCCCGGACACAGTAGAAGCGGATCACGAGGCGAGCATCAGCCTCTTGCGCCCGGGGCATCAGAGCCTGAGACGGGAAGGTTTGACACCTCAACCGTGAGCCCATGCGCCCGACCTGCGAGTGTCTCTGATAATGAGCAGCAGATGATTCAATTTTCGTTCATCAACCCGGACCTTCGCACTTTCGTTACGAGGGCGCAAACTCGTACACACCACCTATGTACCTGCCTTCCATGGTGGATGAGCGGATGCTATCACATTGATCCCCCAACGGCTGGCCGATGGCCTAATGCACCGGCTGCAGAGTGCCTGGCACCGCGGCAAGGTTTCCGGATGCTAGCGGGCTGAGGCACCGGCGCCAATGGCAGTTGACTTTTTGTTAGTAGGAGAGCCGCGGAGAGAAGACATCCTTGGACGGAGGCTGTTTGTTGGGCACTCGACATTTGCTTTACTGTGCTGTTCCTGAGGCAAAAAC